TTATAGCCATACCATAATTTAAAGCCTTAGATGTTCAACAACAACAAAACTGAATCAGACAAATATTTGAAAAGTATACATTTTACAGGCAAAAATATAATAATATCAAATACCAAATGATCAAAAATCTTTAAATGATCAAAAAAATGCACGCAAAACAGATAGGATAACTATTTTTTTTTTTTCAAAAATATCACACAATTTTACAGAAAAGTTAATTTTAAAGTTTAAGGTATTCTTAAGCATATTTTCATGATAAAATGCAAGCTCTCTCTTTCATGTAATCTATTTTTTCTTCTTGCTCTTCTCTTCTATTGTCTTCTCTTCTTTTTTCTTCTCTTCTCTTTTCTTCTTCCTCTTTGTTGCTGACATTTAACCGGTTTTGAGAACAATGCAGTACGATCCGTTGTTATGATTTTTCTCTGATTTGTTACATTTCTAGCTTGTAAACCTAATTGAAAAATTGAAACGTACTGAGTTTGTACTCCATAATTAGGCATTTTATCATTTGGCATTTGATATTTTGATATTTTTACTTTACGAGCAAAAAGGGTCACATGAAATTACGCCTACAGTCCCTTTAAGCTTTGAGGTAAAGTTCTTCCAATTTCCTCCGAATGCTTCAATAAAAAAAGGGCAATTAAAAGAATAAATAAAGGGAACCCTTGAAATTCCACTTCACATTCTACTTCAAAACTGCAGTAAAACTTTTTGATCGTAAGATAAATCCCATTGAAATTCCGAACGTTTCTATATCAACCATATTATGCATAAAATATTAGAATATTGATTTCATTTTCGACTTCTTTAAGATAGAGATTTAATTTCCTTAGCTGTCGTAAATATGAATAATATGATATGATGAGAAACTAGAGCTGAGCATGTTCTTAGATCTTTTTTAGAAAGGAATATTGAAGTATTGGGTTTATATTTAAATATATATATATATATATATATATATATATAAAAATAAGTATATATATATGAGCGAATAGCTATAAAAACATTTAACTATATATGTATATTATACTTTGCTTTTCTGTGATTTACCAACATAGGGTCAAACGACAAACAGTCAAAAATGCGACAAAGGGTAAAACGACAAAATGTCAAAAAGTGCGACAAACGACCAAAATTTCATTTAGACTATTTTTGGTTGATTTGAACTATTTTTATGTTCATTAGAACTAGTAGCCGCAGCCCTCGGTCACCAGCCGTCCTAGCCGCAGCGCTCGGCCCAGAAATTGTCTTAATCTAACCTAACCCTGAAATAATAAATATTTTTATGTAATGTTTTTATGTTCATTTGAACTACTCCACAGCGCTTGACCCCCTAGCCTGTCCTAGAAATTATCTTAACCTAACCTAACCCTGAAACAATATATAAAACAATTTTTCCACTATGGCCATCTGTCGTTACCATTTTTCGCGTTTTTGACCGCCTTGTCGTTTTAACCTATGTCGTTTGACGCTGTGTCGTTTGACCTTGTGTTGTTTGACCCTATGTCGGTGAATCTTGTCGTCTGTTTGTATCCAATAAACGTCAAAACGGATGAAAAGTTTGGGTCCATTTTTTTTGTGGGATCTCACGTGACCCCAGGGAAGGTTCATGGATGATCGAATATTCAAAAATTTGCTTCCAACAAAATTCGATTTTGAAAATTTAGAAAATCCACGAAAATTTTTATTTGTTTTTGTTTTACAATGTACAAAAAGTGAACATGTTCACTATTGAAATAGAAGATTTTTTAGATTGTTTGCATATTTGCTGAATATGCTCTGTTTAAACCTACTATTTCTATACAAAATTGTATATATATGAATTTTCGTATAAATTGACACAGTTTTATATCAATTATATCAAAAACAGGAACATCAGATATAACTTTCATGGGTCGCGATCAGGAGCTAAAGTGATTAGCTTTCAGCCTATGCACCCTCTTTCATTTTTCCTTTACAGTACCTTTAAGGGAATCAAGCATTGTCATCTTTGCTTGGAGAATAACTGGGAATTAGGTTTACAGTCCCTTTAAAGTTTCTTGAATGTTAACAAGTTGTATTTGAAAAAGTACTGGCCATGCTTTCGATTTTTTTTTTCTCTCCAGACGTTTAATTCCTGAAATAATTGCTACAGTTAAATGTTTTATTTTTAAATAATAATACATGTTAAATTTCTTAAACTGAATTTGGGAATTAAAAACTGTCAGACACAGAGATATAGATAAATTTTTTGTAATAAAAACTTTTTCCATCTTTTCTGCAACTTTTAGACTTTTATAAAGAGGAGGAGTTATATTTTTGTCTACATTTACCCTTACTTTGCAACGGTAATTCAACCCTGTTAATGTTGAAGTATGATGGGGNTTAAAAATCGGTTAAAATACCGGGAAGCTGCTAAAACAAATACATCTGAATTCAGTCCCCTGTCATTTACTGCTAACGTTCCCATTAAAAGTTACACAAAAATCTGCTAAAATTTCAGCCCATAGTTACATTATACAGGGTGTCCCAATAAACATGGGAATTCAGTGACAAATTCGGTATCGTATTTGTTATAAATTAGCATTGTAATACCTGATTTCAAAAGCCATAATAGTATTATGTTTGCAAGAGTTTATTTAATGAAAAGCGGTAAAGGACTCCAATTATGTGTCTTTATAATGTCTCCGCAAGAAGAATAGTGAAGATGGACTATATTTAAAAGTTTACTATAGTTCGTATACAACAATTTTTTGTTTTACTAAGTACAACCGTATGCAGTCAAAACATAAACAAACAAATTGTAACCTTAGCAGACAAAAATCTTTCTCAGTAGGTATCACTACACTAAATCTAAGAATTATTTAAAAAGACGATATCGAATTCGTTTATAGTTTATGTAGTGAGTTATGTCAGCAATATCAGGAAGATGAAGATATGAATACTTCATAAACATAACCAAATATTCCAAGTTTAGAAACTGTTTAGTAAACAATTTGCAATTAGCTAATTAATTTAGATAAATAGATTGGATAAGTATTAAGTAGTCTAGCAATGCACAAGTCTTGGAGAAAACATTTGTAAAAAAAGTTTTTATCGACGCCCCCCCCCCTCTTTTTGAGTGGAGGTTGGAAAAAAGTTTATCTATAAATTCAATGACCCCCCCTTCCTAACTTATTCAGTGTTATATCATCATTCTGTATAAAAAAATTCTAGATAGGCGCAATCGGAAAAATTCCATTTCTTTTTTATTTGTTGTTGCTCGTTTATTTTTTGTATTATCGTTACTTTTTTAATTGAATAGTTGTATTACAGGAGAATGCAGTGTATTGCAGGTATTTTCAAATAAAGAAAAGAAAAGCAAATGAAAAATTCCTTTTTTCGGCTTCCATTTTTAATTCATTTACTAATAAATTTAAATTCAAAGAAATAAAAAATGAAAGGATTTCATTGGGAAAATGTAACAGGTATTAAATTACATGTGCAAGTGCATTAAAATCGAGCTATGACGTTATAAAATTACTTAACAATTATGTGTAAAACTGGTAAAAAAAAGTATTTGTTCACAATTTATGAATATTGAATAATCCTAAATATAATCTCTAAATTTGTTGATTTTTTTTATTAAACCTTGATTTTAGCTGATTTTAGCATTGCCCGGGAAATTTCCAAAAGTACTTAATTTTTTTCCCTAGTTCAACTTAATGGCTTTTTGAAAAAAAACGTAGCCAAATTGGTCCAACCGTTTGACCAACTATAGAAAAGGCTTATAGATTTATGCATGCATATAAATGGATTAAGATTACGCTATACACGGTTTATTCAAAGAAAGGGGAGGAGGGGGCGGGAGGGTGTTCTTGTAAGTATATATGTAGTAAACACCTACTCCATAACAAGTTTTCTAAACGTATCTATCCAGGTACAATCCATCCGCTATTAAATTCTACAAGGACTGAATCCCAGGCTCTAAATGCCACACAGGGACACAAGCGTAGCTAACAATAAGCTATCTATATTGATCCCAAATGATGGGGACGATACAATGCTCTAAATGCCACACAGGGACACATGCTTAGCTATACAGCAAGCTATATAATATATGGATCCAAAATGATGGGGGACAATTCAGTGCTCTAAATGCTACAAAGGGACACAAGCCTAGCTATAGAACAAGCTATATTTAGATCCCAAATGAACAGGAACGATCCTATCTATTTATAGAAACAGGGTTTTAGGTTTACTGTACCGCAGTGCAGTAAACAGTACGGAGTTACTCTATAAACTAATCTTTTTAATATCTTATGTCACAAGGTAACATGAATTGACGCAATTACAATTCCTACGTCGCTATCTATATCACATGATCATGATCATACATATTTACCGCACAGTTTTCAATTGAAACTGCGTTTCAATGAATAATATCATTATGTATAAGTACATATCATAAATTGTTAATAATGTACAACGTCCTGCAGTTTTACAGAATATCATGTTTACACGATATTTGCTACATATACACACTTTGCAAGGGGAGGGGGGCATTTGGACTGGAAAGGTAAAACCTCCAATCTCCGAGGGGGGGGGGGGATTTTTAGTCTCTTATCATTAAATAAAGAAAAGATTCGGCCATCTCTTCAACAAATTCATGTATTCGCCGATATTAACTTTAAGTAATGAATTAGGAAAATCCCCCCCCCCCACCTCACCTCTAAACTCCTTTGTAAACGCCCCTGTTAGTTATCTTCAAGCAACAAGTTTTATAATGTTACAAGAAAGGAAAATCAAAGTTACAAAACTTTTAAACATTATTCACGAAACCTCGAAAATTAGAAAAATTCACAAAACCTCAACATATAAAGTTATCACACAACCTCGAAACAAAATAATATTCACGAAACCTCGACAAAATTTCCTTCATTTTAGAATAAAATAACGTCTGACAATGACATGATAATTGAAAATTAACAAAATATGAAACAAATAGAAGAATGTAAACATTTAATTCTTTTTATTCATTCAGGAAAAATGTAGGTTTTTGATTATACAGCAGACAAGAGATACTTTAAAGGATTAAGGTAAAACAATTGTTGGCATATTTAAAGACACTAGACTGTTTTTATAAGTAATATTATTATTAATTTCTGTACACTGTAAATATGATGTATGTACACAATACATGGTATTATCATTTTTACTCTCAACTCTCAGTAAGATTATAGAATCAAAAGAAATTTAAGATCGACCGATGTAATTTTAAATGATAATCCCTCTTCCCTGCAAAAGGATTTAGATAAACTGAGCTGAAAACTTAAAAATTGTATACCTTTTATTCCGATAACTCAATCTGAATATCAAATGTGGACACTTTAAACTTCCTTTTTAATCCACTTTTTGTCTTTCTTTTTCTCTCCCTGCCAGTGGCGTAGATAAGGGGGGTTATTGGGGTTATTTACCCCCACCCCCTAGAATCCTGGGGGTAAATACCCCCCCCCTAGAATCCTGGGGTTAAACCCCCCCCCTAGAATCTTGGAGGTCATTACCCCTGAACATATATTCAGGCCCTGAATAGCAGGGGTTACTCCACTTTCTGCCTCTACAAGTTAAAGTTTCCTTGACCACTTCCCTTCAAAAAAAAAAAAAAATACATTCCCTATTGATTAATCTGTACTTGTGTAAACACGTCTATTTTCATGATAGTAAAAATTTTTGCGGCATTTTGCAGATGCCTAAACAGTAAACTCCGGTTACATCAGTTCACTCACACACAACTTGTTAAAAATCAATCAAACATGAAGACATTCTTAACAAGTTTTTAATCACCAAGCTGCGCCGACTTTTTAATGGAGGAGAGAGTTGTTACTTTGTTTTTGTTTTTAAAAAAAGGTTGATTTTAAAATTGAATATCTTTTAAAGGAATTGAGAATTTGTCTCAAAATATGATTTTCTAATCTCTATATCTTTGTAATCAAATGCCGTAAACCTTAGATATTTCAAACTATGAATTCTGTTAGATGAAAAAATCAAAGTCTGAAATATCAAAGGTTTCGACCAACAGGTGGAAAAAATGTAGGTATTAGAAAATCAGAGTTTGATACAAAGACTCAGTTCCTTTGCACGAAAACAAGTGCACATTTTCTAAATGATTCTAAATTCTAAAGTAATAGTCAATGGCATTAAAATTAGATGTTTTTTTAATAGAAAAAAGGGTATGGACAATAAAAGAAACATTTTTACTTCTAAATAATGTCATTTTAACATTAGATTTCGTTAAGATCTTAACATACTATTACTTCATACATTGACGACAAGAAAATTTGACAATGAGTAATGATAACATTTTTTCAAAGTTTTGCAGAGTAGCTTTTCTAAAGATTTAAAAAAGTAACATCTTTTTCTCTTTAAAATAAAATAAATTCAGTTTTTTTACAGATCTTTGTAGTTAATGTAAAATGAATGACTATAATGAAAGATATAAAACAAGGTGAAAGCTGAAAGGTGTATGTAATGAAGCCTTTATTAGATTAAGTTTGTAAATCCAAGAAATGAGTGGAAAATGCAAATCAACCCAATTAAAACCAATAATTTGATTTACATCATGATATTTTGCTAGGGGGGGGGGGGGTAAAAAAATTTCGCCGCAAAATTCAAAATGTTTACCCCCCCTGCAGAATCCTTATCTACGCCCCTGCAGGCTTCCGGCAGCCATGAGCCACCACTGTTTCCCCTTCCGTAACACCACATTTGACTCTTCCGGGCAAAACTACTTTTTTAAATGGTATATTTAGGGCCTTTAAAAAATCCAGCCGCGTCTCGCAAAAAAGCACAACTCAAACCATTTTTTCAACTCTACTTAAGATTAATATTTTGTGTGTTGAATTCTTAAACTGTTTTACAACGAAAGTTATGACTGAGTATTGCAACTTGAAATATCACAAAGTAGGTTAATGGGTGATTTTAAGATGGTTTTAGTATAATGAGTCAGTAATTAAATAATCATTAGATTTTGAGATATTTCAAGATGCAATACTCTTGAGTTCAAGATTTGAAAAGTGTGAAAGTTCTGAGTTCTATAAGGGGGGCACTGCCCCTTCCTCCCCATTGTTACGCGCTTGAGTAAAGTCTGACCGCGTGAACCAATTGTTGCACCGGCTAGTCCCGTTAATTGTCTTCTTTATTAGTCCAATGTCCGTGCGGTGAAGTACAAACTGGGACCGGAAAGGTTGACCCAGATCGGATCGGATTCAAATGTACGGCTGCCTGTGACTGAAAAGTCGGAGGTCATGAAAATCAAGTATTTTTAATCTGCAAATTATTCAAACCAGTTTTAAAGTTTTGATCATAATTAATTCAGTTGTTGAAACTCAGAGCAGTTGTTGAATCAGTAAAAACTTTGTGTTTATGTTTAATGAGACGCATAAATATATTTAAACTCAAAAACGTTGCTGAAACTAAAGAAAGCGCATCTGAAAATTTTCTGCAGGTGTGATAAAGATTTTGATAAATATAGCCTTCCCTTATAATTCAAGATATTTTTTTTGGTCTCTTGAAGTTTTACAATATGGCGAACCTTACCCCATTTAGTTGGTGGCCAGTGGATCATAAATCACTCTGCGTAAAGTTTCAAATTGAAAATATTGACTTTTCAAACCCCTCTCCAGTGAAAATGAAATCCCTCCAGTGGTCTCCAGTAGAATCGAAATCTTAATTCGAACTTCTTTGAGTCCACTTCTTTCCATGTCCTTACGCAAGTATATGGTTCAATGGCTACAAGCAAAACTGACGAAGTTGATCTAGTGGCGCGATCCTTTGTATTCACTATTACAGACATAATTTTCAGAGCACTTTTATGGATATTTTGATAATATAATTCTTTTAGATTTTAGTTCAAGTCGAAGTATGGAAGTGAGTGCAGAAAAAGAAGAAAATGAAGATGAAGATAAAAATGAAAGTAAAAGAAAAAAAGGTAAAAAATAACAATTTCATAATTTGAAACAAAAAAATTTAAAAAACTAGGCTTATATTTAAATTGTGAACATGTTCTTTTTGTTTACATTTTAAAACAAAGAAGAACAAATTTCGCGGATTTTAAAAAAAAAATTCGCGGATTTTCAAAAATTTTAATTTTTTTACAAAATTGAAAACCTTTAAAACACATTTTTTTATCATTCGTAAACCGTCACGTGATGTCCCACAAAAAATTTGGGCCCGATCGGTTCAGCCGTTTTGACTTTATTGGATACAAACAAACAAACACCCAGACACCAAAGCCAAATTTATATATAGAAGATGCATCAATGTCAGTGAGCACAAATATTGTTCCTTAAAATTATTTTTTTTGATAGCAGTTAAATTTTTTACAGCGTACTTACAATTGAGTAATTTTTTATTTATTTACGAATATAAATCTATTCTAGAAAATATAGACATGGGGATTCAGGCTGGAGCACCTTCTTTAAAAATGGTCAGATTTCATAGGTATTGTTAAAACCTTAGGTTTAACTAAATGATACATGGTGGGGGTTGAAAAATGTTTATTGGTAAAAACTTGTTACGGAATATATAGGAGCGTTTTTACTGTGTAGTCAGTTTCTGTGGGGGGATTTAGGGAGCTTCTCAACTGCTGGAATTGATGAGTCTTCAGAACAGGGAGCAGTCTCGAGCAGAACCGTAGAATGCTGCTTCTGTAGGGAACTGCTTTAAGCTGTGGGTGTAGATGAACCTTTAGAGCTGTCTGGAGCAGAACTGTAGAATGCTGCTTCTGTAGGGAACTGCTTTAAGCTGTGGGTGTAGATGAACCTTTAGAGCTGTCTGGAGCAGAACCGTAGAAGGCTGCTTCTGAAGGGAGCTGCTAGAAGCTGCAGGTGTAGACGAACTTTCTAGTTCAGGACTTGGTCCGAAAATGATACCTCTATTCTGATTTTAGAATATCAATAAAATCCCCTTTTGATGGTACAGAGTTGGTTTAGAACTCCTGAGTTGCTCGAAGATTAGCTACAACTGATAATATCATCTTTCCAAGATTTCAACGTTAGGTTTAAGGCGTAACCTTAACCTTGAGTCTATACTTAAAAATACACAGCGCTCACAGGATGTTCACAAAAAATACAAACATATAAATACATTTTAACTATTCATAAAAGCACAAATATCAATTCTTAAAGAATCTGTTACATTCGTTTGTGAATTTTACAAAAAAGGAGTTTTAGTTTATGTAAACACCCAGCAGAGTTCCCATATACAGAAATAATTGATTCCAACCATGATCTGACATTCTTTGTTAAAAATATGCACTTTGAACTCCGTTACAGTATGCACTATGTACATTGTACATAGATGGTCAGATTGTACAGCTGTATGTTCAGTAATGTTATTAATTCGTCTATCTTTGCAACCTGATGGTGTACACTTTTCATATTTCAACGTTAGATTATTTGATCAAACAGAATCCATAGTTTGAAAAATTAAAGTTCTACGATATTTGTATCGCAAAGATTGGAAATAAAAACCTGATTTTGTGGCAACAGCTAAATCCTTTGAACATGAAAGTAATTTCCTTCTCTATTTCTGGGATTTCCAAAATGTTATAATTGCCTTTTTTGTATACAATATACAATACAAATACATGTATATACATTAAATATACATATATTATTGTAAAGTACAAATAAATCTAAATGCAATATATCTAGAGAATCTGGAGAATCTTTATCTTCCCCATCAAGATCATCTAGACGAAAATATTCTCATTCATCACAGGTATTCAAGCATTCATCACAGATATCCATTCGCTCATTACATGTATTCATGCATTCATTACAGCTATTCAAGCAATCATCACAGATATTCATCCTCTCATTACGTGTATTCATGCATTCATTACATTTATTTAAGCATTCATCACAGATATTCATTCATTCATTACATGTACTCATGCTGCATGCATTCATTGCAGGTATTCATCCTTTCATCACAGGTATTCATTTAATTATCACAGATATTCATTTATTACTCACAGGTATTCATCCTTTCATCCCATCTAGGTATTTATTAATTAATCATAGGAATCTATTCATTCATTAAAGTACCGGGTACCAGGGTCGTTTTACGACAACTTACTAAGTAAGGAACTTTGGATGAAAACTACCCTGGTACCTTAGGAACACATTTTACCATTCTTATATAGGAATGATAAATGTTTTAATGTAGTTTTCATTCGTCAGTACAGAAATATAACATGGAAGATTGGCTCAACTTTCTATTAAAGAGAGAAATCGTTAAACGAATTAGCTAAACTGCCTTTTTAAATCAAACATCCTTACGAGGCATTTGACTTTTGGGACTAGGAATTTTTTAACACCATTTCAGAATTAAACGTACGGATTACTCTATCTTTGATGAACATACAAAGGTTTAAAGGGTACCATTGCGAATGGAAGGTTGATTACCTTTATGTCACCCATACAGCCCCTTTAAACATGTGAAAATATTTTGATTAATGGAATATTATGTTTAGAAATATCAAAGTTTACTATCTGCCCTTCCTCCCTCCAACATTGATTCAGAAAACTCCTCTACAGAAAGTCTGGTAAGCATACTGATTAAAGGGACCATTAGACGTAACATAATGATTAAAGGGACCATTAGACGTAACATAATGATTAAAGGGATCATTAGACGTAACATAATGATTAAAGGAATCATTAGACGTAACATAATGATTACCATTAGACGTAACATAATGATTAAAGGGACCATTAGACGTAACATAATGATTAAAAAAAGCACCATCAAGCGTAACATAATGATTAAAGACAACATCAGACGTAACATAATGATTAAAGGGACAATCAGACGTAACATAATGACTAAAGGGATCATCAAACGTAACTTTATGATTAAAGGGACCATCAGACGTAACATAATGATTAAAGGGACCATTAGACTTAACATAATGATTAAAGGTACCATCAGACGTAACTTTATGATTAAAGGGACCATTAGACCAACTTAATGATTAAAGGGACCATCAGACGTAACATAATGACTAAAGGGATCATCTAACGTTACTTTATTATTAAAGGAATCATCAGACGTAACTTTATGATTAAAGGAATCATCAGACGTAACTTTATGATTAAAGGGACCATCAGACGTAACATAATGATTAAAGGGACCATCAGACATAACTTTATGATTAAAGGGACCATTAGACTAACTTTATGATTAAAGGGACCATTAGACGTAACTTAATGATTAAAGGAACCATCAGACCTAACATTATGATTAAAGGGGCCATCAGACGTAACTTTTTGATTAAAGGGACCATCAGACGTAACATAATGATTAATGGAACCATTAGACGTAACATAATGACTAAAGGAATCATCAAACGTAACTTTATGATTAAAGGGATTATATTACGTAACTTTATGATTAAAGGGATCATTAGACGTAACTTTAATCGACTTTTTATTTATGGAATTGCGTGTACAATTCACAACGGTACCTAACAGAAAATAATGGAATATCTTGTCAGGATTTAACACTTTTTCAAGATTAAAACAAGACAATATCTTCGACATTTTCAATCAGATAAAGGGTAAAGGGTACCATTGTGAATTGGGGATACCCTTCCCAAAATGGAGGGTCAATTGAAATTATAACGACAGTTCTTATAATGTGATTTATTTTTAAAAATTTGTACATGTTTCCATTTTTATTGTTTATGATCTTTTCATTTGTTAATCCGTATGTGTTGGCTGGCCCCCCCCCCAAAAAAAAAAGACAGCTGAACCAATCGAGTCAACATTTCTTGCGACACCTGACATATTACCCCGTTTGTGGCCTTTGTAAAAAATGTAAAGATAAATGATATTTTTTATTTTGTGGTTTTCTGGGGGATTTTCAAATACTTTTTAATATCCTGTTGTATATCAAGTTGCATATTTAAATATCATTTTCTCTATGTCATTTTTGGCGATTTTTTATTTTCACCATTGCAAAAAAAGAAAATATATATACTTCCTCTGATCGATTCTTTAAACTTAGATTTCAGGCAACATGATTATTTTCAAAAATAAAATTGCGGATTTTCTAAATTTAATTTAAATTTAAATTACAAATAAGTCTGTAGACCGGGATACAAAATTGTGCAAACGGAGATTATCTTTAATCAAACCAAATTTACTAACTCCAGTTGGAGAAAATAAAATTGTCATTTTTAGGTCAACAAGCCTAAAGTTGTGCCCATTAAATCAGAAATTGTACCCAAGTAATAATTTTGCGGAAAATCCGCGGAAATTCCCCGAAATCCTTCCCACGTAGATTTATTTTAAAATTGGCCTCAATCTTGAAAATCAGATTAAAAGGGGTCAGTTCAGTAGACATATATATATATATATAGGTAGTAGGCTGGGTAGTTGGTTTTATTCTACTAGTTTGTATACTTCTAATCATTTTAACCCTAAACCTCTCTCCGGTTTCAGTGGAATCTCCAGGTATCAATATTTTATAGAATTTTCAAGCTACTTTTTTAAATGAACTTTGCAATTAATACTTTTAAGTAATTCCTAAGTCTTTTTCTTAGACTTTTTAAAAATCTAATATTTTGATTGTTTAAAATGAATTTTGATGTAGAATATATTCTAGGAAGTAATTCCATTCATGTAATTATTTAATGTTTGACTCGCTTTTAACTAATTATTATGTGTCTTGATGTTGGTTAGTTTGGGAAGTTTATAAAAGTTTTCTTATCTCTTTAGTGTCCTCTATATATAGTCGTATAAAGTTCTACAGTCATTATATTTGCATACAACTCTAATCCTTTAATAATGTTCAAACTGTGAAAAAAATATCTTAAAAAACAGGGCGTTAGTCTAGAGATGGGTCCATTCGTTTTTTTTTATTTTCTTTGTTCGTTCGTAAATGACCTATATTTCATTCTTTTTTAAATCTTTAACAAATTAGTTCGTTCATTCTCAAAATTATTGTTCATTTTCCATCTATTTTGTTCGTTTTCTCACTTAACTGTTGATTAGTAAAATCGTTTGTTCGACAAAAATATCATTTTTCAGGAGTCTGTTAAAAAAATCGTTGTTTTAAAAATTGTGTTTGAAAAAAATCGTTAATTTTTCAAAATCTTTTGGGAAATTCTTTCTTTCAGTAAAAAATTATAGTTTTTCAAGATCGTTCCAACGATTCTTGTTCCCGTTCAGTAAAAAAAGCGATTGTTTTTTATCTATCCAAACATTCCAACTCGTTTGTTCATTGTTCATGAAAACTTTTCTTTGTTCTTAAAAATTTCCTTCATTCCCACAAACATGTCCATCAAATTCCATTAAAAAATCAAATCAAAGATTTCAAGAAACTTTTATAGATTATGATCAATTGTCTTCATGGTTAGCAGGACATTAATGGAATGAAATCCACGGTTTATTATTATTTCAAAGCATGATACATGACCAACATTATATTTTTCATATATAAATAATTGAGTTATTTAATATTATTATTATTAATATTATTATAAAACCTAATTGAATTGTACACAGTCATATATCTGGAAAATGTCAATATAATATTTAGTGCCGAGAGCTAGAGATGAACAATTAATAACATCTTAATTTACAAAAATTAGAATCACATCTGAAAACTCAAATATATTTTTAAAATCCCAGAAATATATAACACTAAAGGAATTGAGCTTTAGCCACAAACCAACATTTTTTAATCCTAAAATTGCAACCTGTAGGTGTTAGATAATTTGATGTAAAAGAATTCATACTCTGAAATATTTAGTATTTTAAGGTGGCAAAGATATAACAATTTGAAATTCAGAGTTTGTAACAAAGACTCAATTCCTTTATCAAACAAAATAAAAATAGACTTTCTAATTAAAAAAGAATATAAAGTATAATATATCTATTAAAATGAATTTAATTCCATTTAGTTCAGCGAACTGATTTACAAGAAACACATGTTTTTCTTGGATGAAAATCTGAAGTCGTTTTATGTGCAAAGAAACAATATACAATTTCCTAAATTAATGATTTGTTATAATCTTTCTTTCTTTGCAACCTTATGGTGTAATACTTTTGTTAAAGAAATTAAGTCGTAGCCACAAACTCTAATTTTCTAAACCCCTTATCTTGATCTTTAATATTTGAAACTTAGATATTTTGATCTAGCATAATTCAAAGTTTGAAATATGAAAGGTCAACGACATTGGCATGGCGAAGATATTGTAATTAGAAAATCAGGGTTTAGATCAAAGACTCTATTCCTTTGAAACGACAACAAAATGACCTAACACATTTCATTGTTTGAAATAAAAAGGTGGTATCATGATCTCAAAAGTAATAATTATTTACTTTACAGGGAAGTTAAAAACATTTTACTTTTCCAAATATTTTATTTTGAAATATAAAATTTTACCGTCTTTCGAGATGGAAATGCGCGATATGTTTACGAAAACTTCGCAGAACTGGTGGTTATTTTACATTATTCTTCAAAGGGACGTCATATCATGTAACGATCAAAAGGCGATAAACTAATAAATTAGAGACGAGTTAACAGTTCCTGTAACAAGCAGAGGCCGAATTTAAAGAATTTAAGTCGCGGCTTAAATCCGCCAAAACCCGGTTTAAATTGAGCGCCGGCTTAAATCTTGAAACATTTGATACAATTTTAAGTGAAAACAACCATAATTAAGCCGCGGCTTAAATTTAAACCGCGGCTCAAATTCTTTAAATTCGGCCTCAGACCTAGTAAATTAAAAGATTATTCATTTAATTGTTATCAAAAATTCACAGCTTTGGTTTATATTGTCAAAACTTTATTCTTTATAACTGACACCGAATGTTTGTTAATATAGTGTTTATATGCTAATTATGTAGGTTGAGGGGTGGTTGTTAGGGGGCGGGGGGAATATGGGGATTAGGGAATAAGCGTATTTAAAAAATATTATTAAAATAGACTTATTACACTATCTATAGGTTCTAAGAGATTACTTTTTATCAATGCTGATTTGGACTGAAAAGTTTTTTAGATTTTAGAAATTTTTTTTTTCTATTTCGTTTTAAAATTCCCTTATTTTAGGGGGTAAGCATACAAATTAGCCTAAAGTAGAGTATAGTACGCAGCTCAGTTAATAAATCCTTTTGTAGCGACAGTTTATTTTGAACCTTTAGTAGAGTTAGTTTATTATAAACCTTTAGTGAAGTTAGTTTATTTTGAACCTTTAGTGGAGTTAGTTTATTATAAACCTTTAGTACAGTTACTTATTATAAACCTTTTGTAGAGATAGTTTATTATAAACCTTTAGCACAGTTGGTTTATAATAAACCTTTAGTAGAGTTAGTTTATAATAAACCTTTCCTAAAGTTAGTTTATTTTAAACCTTTTGCAATTTTAGTTAACTTTAGCAAAGTTGGTTTATTATAAACCTGTTTTAGAGTTAGTTTATAATAAATCTTTAGTAGAGTTAGTTTATTATAAACCTTTAGTACAGTTACTTATTATAAACCTTTTGTAGAGATAGTTTATTATAAACCTTTAGCACAGGTGGTTTATAATAAACCTTTAGTAAAGTTTGTTATTCAAAAACATTTATTATAATGAGTTTATTACAATCATTTATTAGAATTAGTTTATCAAAAAATCTTTATTAAAATTAGTTTATCAAAAAATCTTTATTAAAATTAGTTTATTATGAAGATAGATTGTAAAGCTCGGTTCTACATAAAGTTTGTTTCATCCATGAGAACATTGTATTTGTATCCAATGTAGATTTGTTAAAATTTAATTTCAAAGTTAAATCTAAATTCTAGATGGCAAGGGTCGATACTTTTTTAATATTAAAGTTTTGGCTGATTTGTTTCCTTCAAAATGAATCAAATAGGGTTAAAATAAATTATTGTAAAACTTCTTTCCTTTAAATCAGAAATTATAAACATGTTGTTTTAGATACCAATAATATATATGAGAGTTTCTCAAATAAAAAAGTGAATTTAATCTCTGTATTCTGTCTAATTGTATCTTCTCTATATATCCAAATGCATTCTCTCGAGCTATCCGCCCTGAGACGAAACCAAACCTCTCCCATTCCTAATCTTATCCCGGAGCACAAACCATCCCACAGTTATAACAGGCACTCGGAGCAAACCAGAGATGGAAGACTCAGGGAGCAACCAGGGGTAAGACGGATTACTGAAAAACCCGGAGTGGGACGGAGTCTTGAGTATCCTACTAAGCCTAGAAGCAGGACTATTGAGAGATATCCTGCCGGGACCTGGTTCAAGGAGGAGAGGGAGGCAGAGGGACATGATAGAGACAAGGAGGGTGATGAAGGGGGGAGAAGAAGGATAAATGAAGGAGAGGGGGGAGCTAGACGAAATCGGTTTCAAGAAGATCACGGTAAATCTACTAGGGTGAGTGAAAGTTAAAAATATTAAATCTATTTTTTAAGGATTCAATGTAAAAATACCTAAAAGAACCTTTACAGAATAATCGTAGGTTGGTGTCTGGTGAGTCTAAAAATAGCAAAAAATAAATTTTTAAAAATGTATTTTTGAAAGATGTTGTATCATGTTTAATCAAATATGACTAGACATTATTGTATTAACATTTATTAGCAGCATACGCTGAAACATTCGCAATTAATTTCAATCTCTAATAAGTTTATATTAACTTTAAAACCTGGCCTCACATTTTTGTCTCATTCATCCGGCCATGTTGTATATTAAGTTTAGTATAATATCTGTTTAGATGTCGCCTTATAAGTTATGTAACACCTTGACCGATTTGCTTAAAATTTTGATTGGAAAACTCAGTATATAGTAAATGCCGTACGCTTAAAAGTTCATCCCCCAAGCTGTATCAGTCCAGGCACAACCATTACACTATCCAATTCAACTAGGACACAATCCACCTGACTCTAAATGTCACACAGGGACACAAGCGCAGCTTTTCAGTCTAGCTACCACTCAGGCTCTAAATGCCACACAAGGACACAAGTATAGTCTCCTTATCTAGCTCTTCTCTAACTCTTAAATGCCACACAAGGACACAAGCATAGGTTACTTATCCAGACCTTCTCTAACTCTAAATGCCACACAAGGACACAAGTATAGTCTCCTTATCCAGCTCTTCTCCAACTCTTAAATACCACACAAGGACACAAGCATAGGTTACTTATCCAGCCCTTCTCTAACTCTAAATGCCACACAAGGACAAAAGCATAGGCTACTTCTCCAGCCCTTCTCTAATTCTAAATGCTACACAAGCATAGACTACTTATCCAGCCCTTCTCAAACTCTAAATGCCACACAAGGACAAAAGCATGAGGCTACTATCAAGCCCTTCTCTAACTCTAAATGCCACACAATAACTCAAGCATAGGCTACTTATCCAGCCCTTCTCTAACTCTAAATGCCACAGAATTACTCAAGCATAGGCTACTTATCTAGCCCTTCTCTAACTCTAAATGCCACACAAGGACAAAAGCATAGGCTACTTATCCAGCCCTTCTCTAACTTTAAATGCCACACAAGGACACAAGCATAGGCTACTTATCCAGACCTTCTCTAACTCTAAATGCCACACAAGGACACAAGTATAGTCTCCTTATCCAGCTCTTCTCCAACTCTTAAATGCCACACAAGGACACAAGCATAGGCTACTTATCCAGCCATTTTCTTACTCTAAATATGATTATCTATATCTACCGCTTATGTCATAATTTACAGAAACTTTTCATTTTTTAATAATTTTTTTTGCACTTAATTTTTTAATTTTGAATTCCAAAAAATATAATAAAACTATTGAAAATAAATATGAAATGAAACAAGAATAAGGGGCTTATATAAAACAGTTTTTAGTTCCAATCTATGCATTTTGTAATTCAAATATTTAAACAATTCCTTTCAACTTTGATTGTTTGCTAGTTGTCTGCAGAGTAATTGAAAAATGTAGAATAGAAAACGTTCAAATTCATTTTGAGAGTCGGAAATTTTTGAAATTTTGGGCAAGATTTGAAATTTTCATCGACGACCCTAGATTTTTATCGGACCTAAGCTTTTAATCAAACACCCCTAAATGATCTGTTGAAAGCCAATTGTAAAAATAAACTAAGGGTTCTTAATGTTGAAAAAGATCGGCTCTGCAGTGACAATCTTGGTGTATACAACGAATTATGGGGATTTCAAGGAAAATTCCTCCGGGGGTGTCTCCAATGAAAAGTATGGAAACTCATATGAAAGTTATGAGCTCCCAATACAAATCTGGTTGTTTCCATATGAAAAGCTTAAACGAAAATCTTGGAATAAAAAACTGGGGATTTTCCATCGGATGTCAGAGGGTCTCCAATGGTACTCTGAAAATGATAATTTCTTTCAGATTCAAAATTGGAATTGTTGTTAAAAGCGAGAAAAGATTGGCAACTTAACTTTAAAAGTTATTTTCAACTTGTTACAACGTTTCTCTAAACCTTTATCAAGGCTAGTTTGGGAACCTGGCTTTTGCCTGGATCTAAACTTTCTCAATAAAAGTAAGCACAACCATTTTAGAAGTTTTAAACCAACTTGAAAACATTTCCGGGATTTTACTAAGTTCCAAGATCAAAATTTGAGTAAAATTGGTCAATTGAGAACACAGTGTTAACCAGGGTACTTATAGTTAATCCCACCGTTTAACCGCGCTTGGTCGTAAATTATTTTTCTCTTTAAAAATCTCAAAACCAAGCTAAGAACCCGAGTTTCCAAATCAAAATTTGAGTCAAATCGGTCAATGCATTCCTGAGTTATGATTGGACATATACAAACAAACAGAGATTACAACTTTATATATATATATAGATATATCTACATAGAATACCGGTTCTTATATTTCCTTTAATCTAGGTCACTGATCCAAGTGAAAATGAGAAATTAAACGCCAAGGTAAATATATTTCTTAATCAAAAGATTATTATTTAAAAATCTGTAAAGGAACAAGAAACAACTGTAGACATGGTCGATAAACAACGGTACCATTTAAACCGATATCTTCGCGCGTAACATTGAGAAACATAATTTCTCTTATTATCCAAAAATTCTGTCAATTTCCTTCTATGTCTCTTCTGCTGAAACCCATGCGACCTGCCACAATATTTAAAAATAATAAATGTTCAATAAGGAAAGCAAGCAAATCTCCATACCCGGATGCATATTTTCAGATAACCATACTTCTTACTTTTCGACACATGTCTTAATAAACCCGAATAAACATTGAACATACCTTCAAGTGTATTTAGTTCATGCTTTATAGAACAGTGATTTGCAGTCATCACATTAACATAAAAAAAACGATTCATTTCATGTACTGTCCCGTTTTTCATTTAATGTACTGTCCCGTTTTTCATTTAATGCACTGTCCCGTTTTTCATTTAATGTACTGTCCCGATTTTCATTTGATGTATGTCCCGATTTTCATTTCATGTACTGTCCCGATTTTCATTTGATGTATGTCCCGATTTTCATTTGATGTTCTGTCCCGTTTTTCATTTAATGCACCGTCCCGTTTTTCATTTAGTGCACTTTCCCTAGGGTTTCTGTTTTTCCGGAAAAAATTTCCATTTTGGAAATGGAATGATCCGGAAATTTGTTACGTAAACCGGAATTCCGGGATAATTCCGGATCAAAGGGAAACCGGAATGTTCATGGAATTTACGTTACGTAAACCTGAAATTTTTCCGGTTTACGGAATGGAAATCGTAAAATTTCCAGTTTCCATTTTGTAAACCGTAAAATTTCCAGTTTCCATTTCGTAAACCTGAAATTTTAACACAATATTAGACACCAAAAGCAATGTTAAAACATTAAAAGTTAAAACTAATTAGTTGACCTACAATAAATACACATTTAGTTCTACAATTATATATTCACAAATATTTCACTATAGTTCATATTGACTCTTTTACAGTTACAGTTTTCATTTTCCCCACATGTTTTTGACAAATTAGTTTTTTTTATTTTTCAAGAGGGTCATCGGATAGGCTTATGCCCCCCCCCCTTCCCCTCCGTATTTGATCAGAATGGGATGAAATGAATCATATAAATAAGAGTTTATAAAAACTAGGCTTTAAACTGGTGAATTAAAATAATAATAAATTTCGAGTTTTTTTCCCTCATAAATTTTTAACTAGTTTTAAACTTTCCCTTGGGCCATGTGAGTTGCCTCACAAATGTTGGGCTCGGTCGGTTCAGCTGTTTGGACGTTTATTGGATACTAACGGACAAACAAACAGACGAGCAAAGTATATAAATAGAGTGATGAACCAGAAAACTCTGGAATAGGAGGACGACTTTTAGACTTACATTATGACTCTAAATAGTTAAATGAACATGAGACACGGCAATTACGTAGTATATACTATACTGTATACAGACCAATTTAAAAGTGATTTTATCTATTTGCTTTGCAACAACATCAACTAGACTCAAGGATTGCTATACATGTCGTCTTCATATCCTTTCCACAGTTTTCTGTAGATGAAATTATTTTGAGACATGGCAGTCAGGATTTATATTATTTCATGATAATTCACAGTTATAGTATTACTTTAAATACAGCTACACCAGGCGCACATTCTATTATTCTGTAGATAGTATTACTTACTGGTTTTATCTTTTACATAAGTCTAAGATGTCTTCAACGTTTTCCGGAACCATTTTCCGGAAAATTCCGGAACAATTGTTCCGTAAACCGGAATTTTCCGGAACACTATTCCGTAACGTTCCGTAATTCCAGAACAACGTCCCGGAAATTACCGGTTTACGGAAAAAATCGTTCCGGAATTCCGGATTTCCGGAACCTTTTCCATAATGGAAATGGAAAAAATTTCCGGATCATTTCCGTACGTTAACCGCAACCCGGAATTCCGGCGGAAACCCTAACCCGTTTTTCATTTATTGCACTGTCCCGTTTTTTCATTTAATGCACTGTCCCGTCTTTCATTAAATACACTGTCCCGTTTTTCACTTAATTTACTGTCCCGTTTTTCATTTAATGTACTGTCTCGTTTTTCATTTGATGTTCTGTCCCGTTTTTCATTTAATTCACTGTCCCGTTTTTCATTCAATGCACTGTCCCGTTTTTCATTTAATGCACAGTCCCGTTTTAATTTGATGTACTGTCCCGTTTTTCATTTAATTTACTGTCAGGCTTTTCATTTTATGTACTGTCCTGATTTTTATTTAATGCACTGCCCCGTTTTTCATTTGATGTACTGTTCCAATTTTCTTTTAATGTACTGTTCCGCTTTTCATTTTATGTACCGTCCCGTTTTTCATTTAATGCACAGTCCCATTTTAAATTTGATGTACTGTCCTGTTTAGCCATTTTTTAGTCTGTATGCCTACTGTACAACTTGTACAACTTACTGTATCTGCACTCCGCTACTTCAAAGTAAATTAAATGAAGCTTGATTGCTTTTAATTGGTCTGCGGACTTGAGACTTAACTTTCCTTGTTTTAAAGTTTCAGGGACTTCATTAAATACAATTTAGTATTTCAATAAGAACAACTTAACAAGGCACATTTATGCTTTTTTAAATACGTTTATTTCATCAATTACAGCAATAAAACACACATAATAAAATTCAGTCTCATCCTTTGTGGGTAACCATTTATATACTTAGCCAAAAGTTTGTTAAAAAATAGTTTTTTAGACAAAGATAGATATTTTTTAAGTGATATGTTTTGTATAAGAAAGGAATTCAGTTTTTGCTGCACACTGAAATATTAGAATCCTTATATCTGTGCAACCTTATCGTGTAAACATATAATATTTCAAACTTAGACTAATAATTTTAAATATCTCTGATCTACGAAATTGTGTTGCTAATAATGAAATTATAGAAAATAAGTTTATTATTGCTTCAATGAAAATTACTGGGACCATATCTACCTGAGTTCAAGTTTCTTCTAATTTTTTAATATTTCCGATTCACAACAGTACCCTCCGCCTTTTTCACTTCAACATTAAGAACGTTATTGTCTTTAGTTAAACATTAAGGACGTTATTGTTTTTCAGTTAAACATTAAGGACGTTATTGTTTTAACATTAAGGACGTTATTGTTTTTCAGTTAAACATTAAGGACGTTATTGTTTTTCAGTTAAAAATTAAGAACGTTATTGTTTTTCAGTTAAACATTAAGGACGTTATTGTTTTTCAGTTAAACATTAAGGACGTTATTGTTTTTCAGTTAAAAATTAAGAACGTTATTGTTTTTCAGTTAAACATTAAGAACGTTATTCTTTTTCTGTTAAACATTAAGAACGTTATTGTTTTTCTGTTTGTAAAAGATATAATATGATCTCAGTTTCTTGCATAACTCTGTGGCATAAATTCGCAAGTCCTTGTACAGAAACCCGCATTTGAAATTGGCAATTTACTAAATTTTACGTTTAACCCTAAACAGGCTTTTGGCGCCCCCCCCCCCTTTAGTTTTTGTTGTAGAATCTTCCAAAAATTCCAAATTTCCAGAATTCAAGTATGAGTTTGGGAAATAAATTATTTTTCAAAAAATGTACATCCCTGAGACCTAAAACGGCAAGGGCTTAGTTTTATTTTTGGCTATCACTCTCATTTTTGACACTGTCAAGGTCTGAATATATAATTATTATTATTATTATTAGCAAGGGCTTAGTTTTATTTTGTCCTAACACTCTCATTTTTGACACTGTCACCGTAAAATTTTGTGACTTTTAATGAAAAAAAGTCCGGTCTGTGAAAAAAAAAACTAAAATAGCTCATAACTTTTTTGTGACTAAAGCTGCAGATCTAAAAACTATATGTTTGAAAAGCCCTTGAAAAATGCATGAAGAGACATGTGTCACAGTTTGAGATTTGTTTAAAACAAAAAAATATTTTTTTTTCATTTTTTTACCCTTTTAAAGGCATTTTTTTTCAACCCTCCATATTAAAGTTATCAGTCTAATTTTTTTCTTCTATGATCTAGCCTTGAAACATTGAGCTATGATCATGCATTTTAACCCTATACCTATTCTCTAAGGCCTTTTTGTAGGGGGGGGCGCTAAACGCCCCCCCTCCTCAGGTTATGCATAAATTTAGACCCCCCAGCCTTTATAAGGTTAATCATTTATTGGAAAAAGATAATATTTATAACGAAATTATGATAAAATGTTGAAATTCATTGAAAATCATATATTTGTAGAATATCCCCAGAATTATTCTTAATTTGATGCAAGCAATGCATATTTGGTCCATTTATCAGTAGGGGAGAAAGTTTGAAAATACAGGGTGACCCACTAAACGTGAGTAGAGCCAAGGGAAGAAAGTTTGAAAATACAGGGTGACCCACTAAACGTGAGTAGAGCCAAGGGAAGAAAGTTTGAAAATACAGGGTGACCCACTAAACATGAGTAGAGCCAAGGGAAGAAAGTTTGAAGATACAGGGTGACCCTCTAAACATGAGTAGAGCCAAGGGGAGAAAGTTTGATGATACAGGGTGACCCACTAAACATGAGTAGAGCCAAGGGGAGAAAAATTGAAAGTACAGGGTGACCCACTAAACATGAGTAGAGCCAAGGGAAGACAGTTTGAAGATACAGGGTGACCCACTAAACATTACGTTAATATAAAGACGACCATTGGCAATGACTATGCATTTGTTTACAAAAAGCTGGTGGTGTTCAGTTTCATTAAATCCTGCAATATAAAACCTTAAATGTATACAGGTCCATGTTAAAACCAACTCTAAATAAAGAAATGTTTCATTAAATCCTGCAATATATAAAACCTTAAATTTATGCAGGTCCATGTTAAAACCAACTCTAAATAAAGAAATATTATTTACTTTCAGAAAAATTAGAATAAAAAATGAGTCTTTTTCAAAAACTTAAATATTTGAATCTCTATATCTCTGCAACCTAAATGTGTAACGCTTAATATTAAAAAAACTTAGATTATTTGGTCAAACAGAATACAAAATATTAACATGTTCCAAATTTAGATTTTATGGGCTTTTAAAATATATAAATTTCAGCTCTGCAGCTTAACTAATAAAAAAGTTATGAACCATTTCTTATTTTTTTTAAACACCGACCCGCCGTTTGACTGTCCTCCAACCTACCCTATGCATAAAAAAATGGAAAATTCGTTCACAACTATTAAGTTTAAACTGTTAAGAAGTTTTAGTGTTCTAATATTAGCGGTTTTAAGATATCTAGAAAAAAAAAAACCCACAATCGTGATAGGGTTATTAATATTCTGGCCAGTATAGCATAAGGTTACTGTTGTACTGTACTGTTTTTAATAATATTCTAGGAGGGAAGGTTACTGTTGTACTGTACTGTTTTTAATAATATTCTAGGAGGGAAGGTTACTGTTGGTAGTTGATAAGTCTGGCAGAAAGCAAATAATGTCAGCAGAACCAGTTGAAGCTCCTATTTTTCCAAGGTAATAAATTGCAATGTAAAAATCGTCTTTGTGTTATTACTTTAATTTAATATTGTCAATTTTCACTTATCTACAAAATACATTTCTAGAACTGATGGTTCGAGCAACCTTATAATTGTAAAAGGTTGAACTTCTAACATTGCATATAAAGTTTCTGGCCATATTTAACTTAGATTTAGGGTTCCGATTGAATGATTGGAAAACTGAACCAATATCGGGGAATTCTTTCCAATTTCAAACTAATTAATTTATCTCAATAATATATGAAAAGAACATCCTAAAATGTAAATTAGAATGAACACTTTGTTTTTGTTTTAGCTCAACATTGTATACATATTTTTAAAAAAATGTTATTTCAAATTATTGGGCGATTTTAAAACTTTCATCATGCGGGATCATTTTTCAATTTTTAGATTAATTTTGACTAAAACTTTAATTGTATTTACGTTAATAAAGTTATGGCGCCCATGTCTTTTTTTTTCTCGATGAAAAACTCATTAAAAAAAAAGATTACAAAGAAATGCTTTGACACAAACTCAAATTTTCTAATCCATATATCTCTTCAACCTAATGGTGTAAACCTTAGCTTATTTGATCAATAGAATTCATAGCCTATAATTTCTAAGGTCTACGGCATTGTGTTGGAAAAATATATGAATTAGAGAATCAGAGTTTGTGGCAAAAAATCAATTCCTTTGGTGATATTTTTCTTTCTTATATATATTTTTTTGCCTTCGAGAAATCCAATTATTCATTTCCCAGCTTGATAATAAGCTTAC